AGTTGTCTCCACCATGAATGCATTACCCATCATATCTGTTTTGCGAGCGAAGCCGCAGCATGTTATCTAGTGTATCTGAATGATCATCAAAACCATATTTTCGTAATTTCTCAATTTTTCTGCATACAGTCTTACTAGCAATCTCTCCACGATTGTTTCGTCCTGAAGAACTATTGCGAAATTATTTCACACAATTGCATTTCTCAATTTGTTGGAGGATAGATCCACGGGTTTTATGAAATGATGATTTTTTTCCTTCCACTTTGCTGCATATTTCTTGTGCAAAATCAAAGAAGCCCTTTGAACATTGTGCAGTTTCACACACTGCATTCACGCCCAAGCTTCTGTCCCACCTTGCAGACGATCACGATATACTCGTTGAATCTCTAGGAAACTTGTATTTGCTTCCCTCCCTGCCATCTGCAGCTCTGAGACTCCATCCTCAGATCTGCAGCGTTCTGTGTTTGAATGATCACAACCTCGTGGGGCAGCTGCCACATTTCCCCCCAAGCTTTTGTCACGTTTTCCACGAAGAAACAACAGTACACCCCTTGATTGTCAGGAGGAACCTTGCATTTGTTTCCTGATGATTATGCCGCAACCTTCTCCTGTGGCCCTGATAGCTCTCAGGAAGAAGCAGAGTGTATCCCTTGACTGGCTAGGAATTTTGCATTTGCTTCGTGGCGATCATCGCACCATCATCTCCTGTGCCATAGTAGCCCTCAAAGCCCCATCTTATCTGGAGCTGTCCACATTTCATATGGATGATCATGACATCGGCAGTTGCAGACACCAAATTTCCCCTCAAGTTTTCTGTCCAAGCATACATTATTTTATCATACCGGTGACATACCCCTTAAATCCCCTTTTGTTTTTGTTTTTCTTTTTTTGTCTTCCTTCGTGAGGAGTTTGGCCCGGGGCCTCATCGTGTCAATCGTTGAAATTTGAATGCATCATGATTCGAACTCACGACCTGTTTATGAACACTTCAGTTATTCCTTGAATGCATCTCTGAATGAGTGCGTGTACCATTCAGCCGCATGGGCCAGGTGTAGCACATTATACCCATTGAATCTCTAGGAGCAATCTCTAGGAGGCTTGCATTCTTCCACCTGCCTGTGCTCCTCTGTCGCTGCTTGGTTTGATTTGGACTGGTGTTTGTCTACTGGCCGTTGTGACTTCCTGTGACAGGACGACAGCTATTCCCACCGCATGGTGCACCAAACACTTCTGGCAGTTGTACCAAGCTGGCTGGAACATTCACATGACATCTCTACCCTCCTCAAGGTAAGCGTTTATCAAGTATGTGTAATGGAATCGGTGATGATACTGCGATGAATATAATTGGATATTCATTCTACGTCTAGGTCAGACGGAGTCTAGTGACTTGGCATGACAGTTAGCCTAGCGAGCTGAACCTGGTCGTAATCCTGGCAAATATTCCTGGCAAGCAGATGACAGATCTGAAGCCTTCAACAATAGCCTGCTCAGGCAAATAATAAGAGTTGAACCTGGTCATAATCCTGGCAAATGCATGACAGATCTCGGCAACAAGAGCCTGCTCAGCATAGCGAGCGCATGACAAATCTAGAGACATAGTTGTGATAGGAACAGTAAGTAATGGCAGAAGGATATCATCAGTTGAGGCAATAACTGCAGGCGCTCGCTGCACTACACAGCACTCTACATGTATCTGGAGGTCGTAATCGTCCCGCCCAATTCAAAATATTGAACTCCTTCGAATGCACCTGGTCCAGAAAGGAGTACAAATGCATGTACAATGTTTAACTGGCGGTAGTGGAATGAGGCCCACAACCTCAAATATTGGGATTTGCCACTTGTCAGGCCGTAAAAGTTATGATGAGAATCAGTAATTAAGATCGGCAGCAAGTTGTCAGTTAGGCAGCAAATATAGCCTCGGCCGTTGAGTAATGTTATGGCACCCACGTAAACTCTCCTACATCGCAAGACCTTAAACCACTAGTACCTTTGGCGTCCGGTTTCGACAAGTTCTTGCCAGCTCCCGAACTTTCAGGAGGCCGAGCCCGACGTTGATCAATCTGATCGGCGACCGTCGTTTCGTTTCGGCCTCCTGAAAGGGCCGAGGCCCGCTATTTTCCGAACTGACAAAGGTACTAGTGGTTTAAGCGAAACACTCAAGACAGTTGATGTTACACTCTAGGGAAAACACTTCCATCGTTTTCGCACTAAGGGCCAGGTCCCACTGGTGCTATGTTTGTGCCTCGAAATCATGAACCTGGTCGTAATCATGGTCATGTTCATGCTTTGCTAGTGTGAACATAGCACCGATGGTTCCTGCCACTGGGAGTCTGACAGAATCGGGTGACTGTGATACCAGCTAGCATAGTGATTACGTTGACCAATCAATGTGCACCCTCTCATCTGAAATCAGTTGGTAGACTCCTGCCCGCAGCCACCCCGCCCCCCCCCTCCCCCCCCCCCCCCCCCCCCCCCCCCCCCCCCCCCCGGGTCAGATCAACCATTAAGAAAGGACATTGCAAAAGCTTGGGAGTGTGACTCTCTCATCCTCCCTCTTGGGCTGCATATTGTTCTCATGTCCACTTGAATGCATTGTGCATTGACGATTCGGGGATATGACTCCTTGTATACTATCGCAGTTGTTATTTCCACTGTGATGCACTTAGTGCATGATGCATTGATTCGTAGTCTAAGCTTCATCGTTCTGTGTAATTTAAACTTAATTTTCATTGAGCATTCACGGGATGTGGAGTGTTGGATGTTCGTTTCTTATTGGAGAACCTGTGAGGCTGTGTGCTGAAGCATCTGATTCAGATTGTCCCTCAATTCATGCAGCTCGTTTTGGAGATGCCCTCTACTTGAACACGTTCTGATCTGGGATGTGGGTTGTCCTTTCTTATTTAGTTTCTTTTTCACAATAGTTTGGTCTGTTTCTTAATCTGTGCATGTCACCCTTGCGCAGCGGCCAGTCAATCGTCTCTGTATCGTTCTCTGTATCGTTCCGATTTTAACGAATGGCGTGAAGCACTGGGATGTGGCTTGTCTGACCACTGGGCGAGAGCTATTTTTGTGGCCAGGAAAATTGTTTGATGATCTCTTTCAGGCAACAATGTTGAGCATCGAGCGCATGGACCTAGAATGAATGAAGGAAGGGTCTTTGATCTTTTGTAACAATGTAAAGTCCATTTTGTCATATGTGCACACTGCATAGGGATAATCTTTTGTGAAATCCAACTTTTGTGTAGCTACTATGATTCTGAGAATTTCTGACAATTTTTATGATTTTTTTTAGTTAGAAAATTTTAATCTCTTTGCATTCGGGATCGCTGGGTTGTGAGATCCAACTTTTGTGTAGCTACTATGATTCTGAGAATTTCTGACCATTTTTTTTTCTTCTTAAAATCTCTTTGCTTTCGGGATCGCTGGGTGTCTCTGCAGGTTTTTGTGGAGGCACTCCCAAGGGTCCCAGTTCACCGCCGTCTTCCTCTGGTTGTCAGTCTCCTGAGGTGAGAATGCTCTCCATGCCTTGCATAACTGTTACAGTTTTTTCCTTCCCCTGGACTGAGGAGGTTTGGAAAAACAAGCCATCGTTTGGAGGACAGGTACTGGGCAAGATGGGTCACCCACGCGGTCTGATGATTGTCGCTGTACCTGTCCTCCAAACGATGAGTTAGAAAGGGCGAAAGGGAAACTGTCCTCCAACCCTGTGACAATCAGACCATGTGCAGTTTCCCTTTCGCCCTTTCCTCAACCCTTCGACAATCAGACCACGTGCAGTTTCCCTTTCGCCAGGAAAAATTGACAAAACACTCTCACATGACTAGTAGAAGCACACCATTTGTTCGAGGCTAGGAAGCACACCATGAGTTAGAGGCTAGGAGGCGTGTAGGTTTGTTCAGTCTGTTGGCATATATAAGAGATTGAAATGACTGACTATATGCTAAGCTTCATAGGAGATGACATGGGGGTGATAAGAATGGCTGGGAACAGCCCTTAGAAGGGAAGTATCTAGCAAATTCATGACTTTCCAACATTGCCGGTGGAAAAGGAACCGGGCTGAGGCCCCTTTAGAAGGGAGAGATGGAGCCAGGCCCATGAGGACCTGTTTTCTTTCTTAAATTTGTTATTATTATATTATTATTATTGTTATTATTATTATTTTTGAAAAAGAAGAAAGGAAGTATGTAGAAATGGGCTGCATAGGGGATGTGGGGTGGTGAGAGAAGTAAGTGACGAGCGTCACAACAACTTGGTAGATGGATTGAAAGGCCGGCTCTGGGCGTGGGGTGCTGAATTTAAGGTTTCATTTCTGCATGACAATCCCTGAAAAGTTGGATAGCTTTTTTTTTTAGGGGGGGGGCAGGGCGGCAGGGGGACTATTTCTCGATTTATGTGTGTCATCCTTGCACAGGGGCCATGCTACTCTTCTCTGTATCGTTCCAATTTTGAACGGATGTCCTGAATGACGGATGGCTTTATTTTGGACATTCCTATGATGAATGTGTTGTCGGACGGCTATTCACGTCAAGGTCGCGGTGGGCATTTCTATGCCTTTCGCAGGAGAAAGGGCGAAAATAAAACTGCACGTGGTCTGATTGTCGCAGGGTTGAGTAGCGGTTACCTTGTTTTGCTGGCAGTTATGAAGGGCACCTACATTCCCGATGGTTGTGATTGCGTTTTTCCTGTGCTTGCCTTCGTTCGGAGCGTACAATGGCAGACATGCACAAGCGTTTTGAAATGAAGAGGGAGCAAGGGAGGGGCTGCAGGGTTCTTCTATTTAGCCTCGTTTTGCTTATGATGACCCCTCAGATCTCGGAAGATGAGGCTGCACTGACACGTATGACTACATTACTGGCCATTGCTGTATCCGCCATCTTGCTGTGGATCATGCGTGGTCTTTATGAAACTGCCTCCTTGCCGTGTCGCGGTATTGTTAGGAAGTGGGTCCAAACAACCTTTTGGGCAGTAGAGGGACTTCCTCCCTTCGCACTGACCCCTTTCCAAAATCAAGTCACAAAGCATAGACCCTTTTGCTTCCAGGGTTGCATGTTAGGGTCAAAGAGTGCCACCGCAAGTGGGCTTCACATGACCCTCTAATACCCTCATATGTAAGTTTGACTCTGTTATAAGCCTGCGTGTTCGCCCATGAAAGCAACAGAATGGCCTGTATGACCTGAAAACTGATCTTCAAACCCCATCCAAAAGCTGACCTCTGTCAGGCCATGGATTTGCATCTGGCCACACGCATGTGTGCGGCTTGTAGGCAGTGTCAGGGAGAAGGAAAAGGTTGGTAGGAATCGACTGACCGAAGGATCCCGACCGGGATCCTCATTGTCCGTGGCATCGTGAGGGCAAACTCTCACACGAGGACTGTTCTGAATGTATCTGGCTGTACCTAAAGCGGATTTAGTTGAGAAAACCTCAAGGCGGGTGGGTATACCCAAAGTCTGTTCTAGGAATCTTATCTTTCAGATTCTTTCTGCTAAAAACCGAGGGCGAGCATGCCCAAAGTCTGTGCCAGTAATCTCGTCTTTCTGCTAAAATGAGTGTGCTGAATGGAACTGTATGATTTGCGTGCATGGCTGTGAATGACGAGAAGGGCCTTCCTGTTATGCTCCACCGACTGTGTAATCTTATCTTACTGTTTACTACTGTTTAATCTTGTCTTTCTGCTAAAAACAGAGGGCGAGGATGCCCGAAGTCTGTTCCAATAATCTCGTCTTTCTGCTGAAATGAGTGCGCTGAATGGAACCGTATGATTTGTGTGCAGGGCTGTGAATGAGGAGAAGGGCCTTCCTGTTATGCTCCACCTACTGTTTGATCTGTACTTGTCAGGGAAGGCGAAGACAGAGTCGCGACCTTCTGTGCTCGACGAGGACGATGATGTTGAGAATGAGGATGAAGTGATGGTGGAAAGAGGAGATGGCAGTGAGTGGGTGATGGACTTTGCTGATCTATTGTGCAAGCAGGAGGGTCCAAGATTGCGTCTTCAGGCTCTGGCAAAATTACTACATGAACATGGATTGAAGTCGGTGATTGCATCAAGCGAGAACAAGGGAATGGTTGAGCGTAAATTGGATGCAGGTGAGAGGAAGGGTGGAGGAGAGGAGGAGGAGGAGGAGGAGGAGGAGGAGGAGGAGGAAGAGGAGGAGGAGAGGAAGAATGTTGACTGGAGGATGCAGGGGCTGATGATAGGTTTTGTTGCGGAGCAACTCCGAGCACGTGCCTTCTTGACAACAGGCGAAGTCGCAACAGCAGAGGAGTCACTTCTGCAGGTCAGTAGGCAAACCTTAGTTCCTCGTGAGGGCCTATAAGGCGAGACGGTGATTATATTGCCCCGGATCCCCTGTGGTCACTTTCACTGTCTTTGATTTCCACCACTCAGTGTCTGAGGGGTCTCTGACTAAGAGTTTTTCTTTTCTTTTCTTTTTTCTTCCTTCCTGGATTCCTTCTTGATTCTGTATTTCAGCATTTCAACAGTTCAGAGGTGTACCAACTAAGGTAGGCCCGTTGGTAGAGTAAGACTTTTTGAACTGACCTGCAGACGTAATTTCAGTTTGATACATCCAGCTGCGGCCGTAATTGCAGCCATATAGTTAGAAAACAGGTCATGAGTTCGAGTACACGAAGGTTTGGGCAGATCTTGTTGAAGGAAAAAGAAGGAACCGAAAGAAGGGACAAAAAGGGAAAACATGTCCGTGTTCTTAGGTCATGAGATAAAGTGGCCTGCCTGGGCCTCATCAGGCTTTGAGGTACTTGTCGTTTGGGTAAGCGCACAGTGATGGCACATACGCCATTGTGACTGCGACTGGTTCATCAATTGTGTCGTACTGATAGCATCGTAACTGTGATTTCTTAGGTCATGAGATAAAGTGGCCTGCCTGGACTGCAAGGGCGCTCAGGGCCTCATGATGCTGTGAGGTACTTGGCGTTCGGGTAAGCGCACACCGATGGCACATACACCATTGTGACTACGACTGGTTCGTCGATAGTGTCGTACCGATAGCGTCGTAAGTATGATTTCTTAATAAGAGTGTGTATTGTAATTCTATACCGGGGTTTGTGACTGTGTCACCTGGCCCGGCACAGTGCAGGTGTTCATGTTGTAATTCTATACCAGGGTTTATGACTATGTTACCTGGCGCTGCACACCGCAGGTGGTCATACCAGGCCACGCCCGGGCAAGTTCCTTCGCCAGGTCCTGAGCAGCTCTAGCACAAAAAAAATTAGAAAAATATAAGAAAAGAAATGAAAACTAAACTTGGGTGTCTTGTGTATGAAGGTACTATGACCCGAGTACAAACGATGTTTGGCTAAGGGTCACTTTGGTGCTCCTTGGAACGAATTCATAAATCATTTCAACAAAAGATTACCAAGCATTGGATCCTGAATGAACTCCATTTCAAGGTGATGAGATAAAATATTCATTGTTCAAGCAAAACTAAACTATTAGTCTATTAGTGAGTAGCATGAAGAAAAATGAATTAGTTAAAGAAAGCTTAAGAAACATACAAGTTTCCTGCGTTTGAAAAGGAATCACTGGAATCAAAGCAAAATTTTCCAAGGAATCACTGGAATAAAAGCAAAATTTTCCAGTGAATTAAAAGTAGCTTTTCGAGACGATGGGAATGTCCAGCCGTGACTTCAAATCTCTCCCTGGCACATGCTGGCCTCATGTAAAGCTGGACTCTGCTGCAGAATCCAAGCTCTAAGATTCCCAGTATGAACTTAACTTGTTTCCTGTTTCAATTTCATCATTTCAGGACGTCTCTGTTTTCATTCATTCTCTCTCTCTCTTTTGACGCTCCTCTAAGTGTGCGTGAATTGTGTCGTTTTACTTATGACTGGTGTTTTCTTTTGTCTTTTCCAGAAGATGGGAATGGCCAGCTGCTGCTTGTTCTTCATGTGTCCTCTCTTTTTTTTTTTTTTTGGAATGTTCTTCATGTGTTCTGTAAGGGGATGGAAAAGGGATGTCGGCTATGAACCCGCTGAAGTTTTGAAGTTTGAACTCATCATGCTGAGAGCTGAAGGGTGTTTGCAGTTATTAGCCCAGTTGTGAAATTTTTAGTTGGTTAACTGTTTAGGATGCTCTCCTGCTGTTGGTTTACCATGTTTTTTTTTTTTTTTGCAGGAGTTCTTTGTCGAGATCTTGGAGCATGTGATGGTAATGGTGACAGCTGGCAGCAAGTACAGGGCCCGTGGGAGGAACAATTCAGCATATCATGTGAGTGCGGAAGGTGTCTACCATGCAGTAATGCACAGCTTTGAAGCAATAAAACACAACGAATCTGTCCTTAGGGAGATCCCAAAAAAATGGAACGAAACAGAGAAGATTAGCATGGCCCCTGCACAAGGATGACGCACAAAAATCGAGAAATGGTCCAAATTAAAAAAGGGAAGAAAGAAAAAAGCACCATGGGTGGGGTGCTCAGAAGCAGGCCCCTCCCTTGCTTAGGCGGCCAGCGCCACAAGGGGTAGGCAGACCCACTTTTCTTGTCTGTCTCTCCCCTTTAATCTTCTGTATAAACATGCTTGCCGGTGATAGGCAACCGGACTGATGCCCCCCAGATCAGAAGGGGCTTTTGTTTGTTTGGAAAAAAAAAAAAAAAAGAATCCACTAAGTAGAGTCAGTGCTCACCATTTAGGTGGCGGGTTGCACCGGCCTTTCTGCGTGCCAATTTTCCTCTCCTTCCCATTGGTTGTAGGCCAGGTGGCCATGTTTTACAGTAGGAGGGTACGCAGTGTTGATGTCATGTATTGTGTCAGGCAGCAGCCTCTTATTGCTTTTGCTGAAGACCCAGCGGTGCGAAGGCTGTGTTTTCATCAGGCGGCAGCCCCCATTACGAACCGCCATGGCTGTGGTAAAGCGGGGGGGAGGAAATGGGGTGCCTACTTCTTCGCGCTTGGCGATTCCCCCCCCCCTTCACCGGAAGAAAGAAAGCGCCGTGCCGTTTTCGAAAGTGCAGCTTGTCCGTTCTGTCAAAAAGAAAGGAAAGGGCCGTGTGCCAGAGCCCAAGGCCAATACAAATGAGCTAAAGGGCCAGTTGGGCAACCACCCCCCAGGGAGATGCAAAGCCCAACCCGCACACGAATCAGAGTGGCCAGCCTGACATTGTTTATCTCTGTGCAGTTGTTTAGACGTAGCCGTTCCAGCCCCTGTCTACGCATGTGCACATGCGCCATTAAGGCACACGGGGATGTGGGCAGCTTGCGCTTAACCACAATCGGTGTGGACAGGCTTGTACATGAGAGGCACTGTAGTAAAAGGGACCCTGCAAGAATAAATAAAAGGGGTACTCCAGAAAAAGCCAAACTGAAGATGGTAAAGAAAGGGATATACAGATCTATTGTGCTCCATGTTGCTTGCTGTAGAGGTTAAACTGTTTCATTGTTGGAATGACTCATCTCAAGTGCGCTTTTTCTATGGCTGCTTGGATTTCGGATAAATCGTCTCGGTGGAACCTGTTGTGGCGAAAATCTATAGAACAAAGCTGTTGTCGTGAAAATCTATGGAACAAGGTGTGGTGAAAATCTACAACACATCCACACACACTCCGACGAAACAGCCCGGCGCAGTCTTGCTTTTTTTTGTGGAGCTGTGTAGTGAAGATGACAACACGCCCACACACACACTTGGGATCCATCCCGGCTGTCGCTTGTCCGCCGGCAGGATCAGTTGCGAGCAAAATTTCCAGAAAACTGCGTGATGCTGCGCTATGACGACCCGTCTGATGTTCAGCTAGCATGCCATTGGCATTCTTTGTGTCACTATGAGGGCATATAGCCCATGGGCGTTCTCGTCTTCGTACGTATGACGACAGCCAACATTGTACGCATGTGCAACACCCCTGAGTGGCATGACCAATTTGTAGGCAGCGGCTGGAGATTGGCCCCTTATTCCGGTCTCTAGCAGTCCTCTCTGCCAGTAACTATCGAGGAGCCAGTGGCGTTCCTCTTTCTCCTGTTCTTCTCCTCCTTCCACTATCCACCTTTCCCTCCGTTCCGTTTCTCCCGATGTGAAACTACTGAATGCACACAATGAGCATAAATAAGAGAATGACAAAATATAAGGCGCAGGCGTGCTGAAAGGCAAACGGGTCTGTACACATCCCGTGCTTAAGTACACTTGCACCTGTCAGAATATAACAATGCGATGGCATTTTCGTCAAATCATTAGTTGACCTTGTCTCAAAGCGCGATGTGGGTACAGCGTTGGATGATGGGCTCGGTGTACGAGGGGAGAGGGAGGGGCGGAAAAAATACCAGATCAAGACCAGATCAGACCTTCAGGAAACAGGAATGGAAATGGCAGTAAATCATGTATGGTCTCTTCCATGCATCATTGTTTATTATGTATGCTATAGACTAACCAACCTTGTGTCCCGTGTGAATGTCTACGGTTGTGTAAACACGTTTTTCTTGTGCAGGAGGCTATGGATGGGCTTTACAATTTGCTTAGCGTGCTCCATGAAGTGATGCCTATTCATGCTTATATCAAGGGCATTACTTCTCTCATTAAGCTTGAGAGCAGCAGTATTCGACAAAAGGTAGTTGGTTGGGTGCCATGGATAAAATCACTCCCGAAAATCACCGCATCACAGTGTGGCTGTCGCAGTTTGATCTCACCTTTTTTTCTCTTCCTTTTTCCTTCTCTCTGCCTCAATAGAACCCGCCACTCGAGAAAAGCTGGGATGAAATACATGTTTTTGCTTAAACGACCGGTACCCCGTCCATGAATCTCACACGCACGCACCCACCAGGTATAATGTGGTGCCACGGAAAGGTTCGACCTACCTGGACCAAAAAGCCCCGCGGTGCCCGGTGGGCCCTTGCCTGCGACGGCTTTGAAATTTAGGAGTGGGTGAAATCATTGAAATGTGTGTTGGAAAGAAAAGGCCTGGAGGTGCTGGTGGTCTTAGGGGTGCGTGGGGTGTGATTTTTTTTTTTTATAAATAATTTTCATTGTGGCTTGAACTGGCTTCTATGTGTTGTCTCCGCTTTTGTTCCCTATGGGCACCTATGGGTAAATGGCTTTTCTTTTTCCACGTTCTTCAGAAGCTCTTCTTGTTCTTTGTTTTTGTCGTCGCCTTTCATTGTGTCCTTTCTTTCTCAATGCCAAGGCATCCACCAAATGCATTATTTTGGATATAGCAGGGCCCTTCACTACTTCTCATTTTGACACAATGAACAAAATCATACCATAACGAAGTCCCGCTTGAACCACTGATGTATGATATCGTTCGTAGGTGGGATGAGAGAGGGGGGGGGGGGGGGGGGGGGGGGGGGGGGGGGAGGGAGGGGTACCTAGCCTTACAGAATCATTTAAGGGGTTGAAGTCGGAGCGTATGATCTCTTTATTAACAAATGTCTGTCTGTAGTACTGTGTTCTATCCAACCAGAGGAGAAGGAAAGCTGACTGTGATCTTTTCTGGATTTTTTTATTTTTTTGTTTGCCGCGCAGGTGTTATCCATGTTTGCGCTAACTTTGAAGGAGCAAGAGAAGGAATCTCAGTCAAGGCGGAGGCGAAGAAACCGGCTTGCACAATCGGAACAGGAAAGAGAAGCCGAGGGGAAACTCTATACTTCCTTGGCTGCTGACATTGCTAAGCTTCTGCATGGCCCGAAAGCAGATTCGTCGGTGGCAACGAGACAGGTGTGCCTCCCTTCATCGAACTCCTCATTGTTCAAAGCCACAGTCAATCTGTTGCTGCCAATCTGCTTGCTTCTTGCGGTTTCTCGGAATAAAAATTCTACTGGTTTGGTTGTCCTGTTCATTTAGTAAACGACGTTCATCCTGTCGTGTGCCTGCAGATGGAAAGCAAGGCGGTCACAGCTGCCATATCTGCTGCACCCCGCCTCCTCCCCCCCCCCCTTCCCCCGTTTGTCTCCCTCTCCTCTGCCCTACCCACCCACTCTCCCAAGTCTCATGCTTCAGTTCCGCAGGCACGGACAGACGACATGGTGAGGAATGCGACCTCCGCAACATGTCCGCATGTTTGGAATCTTCAAAAATGAGATTGCTTACTAGTTCCAGTCAATCCAATCTTAGTTAGTGGTGCAGGGAATGCATTGAATTGCCAATTGGGCAACCAATCTTTTTTTTTTTTTTTTTTTTTTTCAAGTACTGTCAGGTAACTACTCTATATTTTTCTTTCATCATATCTCCCACTACCTACCTATCTACCTACGTCTATCGCTTTGTCCATTTCTTTTGCTGCAGGGAGCTTGTGCCCTAAGGACAGTAGTCCACATCTATGCACCGAAGCTGGGCCTGTCCCCTTCGGGTTGGTCCTCAATTCTGCTCTGTGCGGGGAGCAGTACCCCCGCCTCTAACCCTTGGCACGGGATGGAAGGCCGGCAACAACCCACCACTACCTGCCAGGGGGAGCAAAGCCATCTATCTCCGCTGGTGAACCCGAAGCGTGCGGCAGGAGGGCATGGGGAGTGAAATGGATGACATGGGAATTGAGCCCACAACCTCCCGAATGCCACTTACGTGATCTACCAACCGAGCTAGTCCGCTTGGCCCGCCAATCTTAGCTTAAACTTTAAGACTATATTTATTTCCCTCCTCTGATTCCGTATGGATTTGAACTCGAGTCTGTTTGTCAACAGTTCATGGGTGTACCATTCAGCCAAACGGGCTGTGTACTTATGGATTATATTATACATACCAGGGTTGCCAGGCCGAACGTACGGAGGCCCCTAAGCTGACCCCCGAACGTGGGGCGTTCGGGTCCTCGTATGGGGCCCGAACCTGTGAAGGGGTTCGGACCCCACAAAAAAATATTTGGCACCTAAAAATTTATTTTTTTTTCTGGATTTTTTTTGGTGAGTTCTTTGTGATGTAAGGTATGTCCCTCTTAATTTTGAAGCTATTCTGTTGAGCCAGAAAAAAAAAAACAATCAGCAAAGATGGTGGTGTCAAAACTTGCTTGCCCACTCAGTAATTTGTTTTTTCTCTCTTTTCACTTTTTGGTTTTCCTTTATTTCGGGGCATGAAAAAAATTATTATCTTTTCAAACTTTATTTGTAGATTCTCTAATAATCTCTATCATGTAAGATACACATGCATAAATTTTCATGGCATTTGTCACAGCCAAAAAAAAAAAAAAAAATCGCCAAAGCTGGCGGTGTCAAAAACGTGCTCGCCCATTCAATAATTTCATTCTCGTTTTATTCTTTCTATATTTCACTACCACTTTTCTGTTAATTTCCGTTTTCCTGACGCCATGTTGTAAACAATGGCTGAATGAAAAGCCTTCAGGTTGGAAGAGCAGTGGAAGAGCTTGCCGAAGCTTTGCGGCAAACGAACAGTGCACAGTAGAATTGCTTTTGCGGATAATTTTCGGCTAATCAGTGCGCTGTTGACTTGCTCATCTGCAACTTATAACAGAGTGCATTAGTGGCAATTGAAGTCCTTGCGTGGCGGTTCGGCAAGCTCTCTCGGGAAGTTTTCGTGAAGTGCATCCCAGCAATTGTTGCAAATCTTCATCATGAAGACAGGTAAGCTGACGTCCTGTTTCTCCACACCTCGGGCTGGGGGAAGGGGGGAAGGGAGGGATCAAACTTCGTTCCTCTGTTTTTTTTTAACTTTTTTTCCAATTTCCTCCTTATGGAACCCGTAACCCGAAACAAATCCGATGCCCAGGGAGGGATCGAACTTCGTCCCTCTGTTTTTTTAGCTTTTTTTCCAATTTTCTCCTTATGGAACCCGTAACCCGAAACAAATCCGATGCCCTGCTGCACTCGTCTTATGCCCAAATTTTTCTCCTTCCGATTGTGTGATTTATGTGCAGCAATTCTCCTCCTCCTCATGCTGAGGTCCAGTGTATTTTGCATATATGTAGGACAGTATTCTGTGTTCATTTGAACGTCCCTGCCGCCCGTC